TTCCAGAGCTCATTACCAATGTAACAAGACTTACTCATAACCAATGGTTGTTTGCATAGAAAGCAGTTTGTTTGTTAGAACTTGCTGAATTAATGGATGTGCCTTGAGAGTGCAAGTATTTCCTACCTGACTGTTGCTGCAAAGACTTCCCTTTGATTCTACTCTAGGGAAGATGCTGAAATTGATGTGAGTACACAGAAAGCTAAGATGCAGATGGAAACTCCAATTATTTTCTTAACTTGAAAACCAGTTAAATTGCTCCACTGTCACATTTCTAGATCCAAACGTTAAGAACAATTTTTTTCTCCAGTGATTATGTATAGCAGCAAGAACAGACAAAAAAATTAGAAATTAGAAATGAAAATACAAATACAGCCATCATAAATCTGCTTCTGAAAATATCATGCATTTTCTTGAAACTACACACAACTTAAGTTAGTGAAATTGCTTCAATGAAATGCCATCACCCCCCCCCCCAGTTTTCAAGGCCAAGAATTAAAAAAAAGTATTTTCCTTACTAAGCTCCTGTTAGAGGAAAGAACATTTAGTGGTAATGTTACCACATTGTACTGGCCTTCTACTCCAAGAAGCTCAGTTGAAAGTGTCTTATTTAGTAATACAGTTGTCCCTATTTAATGGCTTGAGGAGTGTCTGGCAGGTGACAGGCTGGAAATTGCTGTTCTTGTCGTATAAGTTAAAACTTTAAAAAATTTAACTACTTTATCTTTCATAATAAAATTACAAAAATGAATTTCCTTTTCAAGAAAATTCAGATTCCCCCCTTCTTTTTCCTAGAAGTTCATTCTGTTATGGTGATATTCTGATTCAGAGAATAGCAAATTTTAACCACCATTCACCATATGACCAAAATATATATTAATTTGTGGTAGACCTCAAATTACATACTGCAGGTGTAGCTACCATCTAGCTTAGTAGGCTCAAAAGCAGGTGCCCCAACAGGATGGATCTCATACTTTGGTGATTTATAGATACTTTGTTAGGGGCATTGACTTGCTTCATTTGTTGAAATACAGGTTCTGGAGGACTTTGAGTTGTGTTCAGCATGTTTGAAACGAGGGCAGTGCTGGAAACTTAGGGTATGGGATTGTCATTCTGCAACACACGCTGTCAGCCTGAAACACACAACCCCCGTAAATAACATTTGGTTCTTTCCTGTTCTTTTCCAGCACAGACCCAGCGCACCGTAACTTCAATAATCCGAGATGTAAAGACCACTGCAGAGTAAATTTTGGTGCTAACACTAGCCACGTGTGCTGGGCTTCACCTAGCCCATGTGAACCGCTTCACCTTGGCAGCCACATTTGCAATTTCAGCAAATGATGAACGGCGTCGTCATCACGGATGTGTGTCTCTCGGTCCCTGGTTCTAACCCAGTGGCTCTCGCACTCCGCCCATTTCCACCTTCCTACGGCGGGCTGCCCTCCCCCTGGCTCCTCCCTTCAGGTGGGGCCTGCGGATTGGGCCTCCAGGAAGAAAAACAGTCCCCAGGAGGAGCCCGGGTTTGAGCACCAATCTGTTGAGCACTCCGTTGGTTTGTGAGAAAACAATCCTCTTGGTTTCAGTAGAACAAACCCTACCCAGCCCAGCCGAGCAGA